TAGCTGGGACTATAGGCGCCCACCACAAGGCCTGGCAATTTTTTTTGTTGTAGTTGTTTAGCTGGCCCTGGCTGGGTTCAAACCCACTACCTTCAGTGTATGTGGCTGGCAGTGTAACCACTGTGCTACGGGCACCAAGCCAAGTGAAAATACTTTTGCCAGCTTTCCTGAAGTGATAGCCTGAGGCAAGTGCTGGGGTCCACATTCTTGGCACTTGGTGCCATTTGTTACTTGGTGTCATTTGTGACTGCAGCAATTCCTATAGTCCAGCTTTCTCCACAGCAGCTGATTTGCTAATCACTTCTTAAGCACTGAGAGCTTACCAGTATGGCATGGGAGAATGGGATTCTAAAAATATATTTGTATTCTTTAATGTAAGTGTTCCATGTAGGTTTTTTGGGTTTTTTTTTTTGTTTGTTTGTTTATTTGTTTTGTGACAGAGCCTCAAGATGTCACCCTGGGTAGAGTGCTGTGGCATCCCAGCTCCCAGTAACCTCCAACTCCTGGGCTTAAGCAATTCTCTTACCTCAGCCTCCCAAGTAGCTGGGACTACAGGTGCCCACTATAAGGCCCAGCTATTTTTTTTTTTTTGCAGTTTTTGGCCAGGGCTGGGTTTGAACCTGCCACCTCTGGCGTATGGAGCCAGCACCCTACTCCTTTGAGCCACAGGCGTTGTACAGGCGCAGCTATTTTTTGGTTGCAGTTGTCAATTGTTGTTTGGCAGGCCCAGGCTGAATTCATAGGTGTATGTGGCTGGTGCCTTAGCTGCTTGAGGTACAGGCACCGAGCCTTTTTTTTGAGACACAGTCTCACTATATTACCCCTGCTAGAGTGCTGTGGTGTCACAGCTCACAGCAACCACCAACTCTTGGGCTTAAGCCATTCTCTTGCCTCAGCCTTCCAAGTAGCTGGGACTATAGGTACCCACCACAATGCCCAGCTATTTTTTGTTGCAGTTGTCGTTGTTTAGCTGGTCTGGTTCAGATTCCAACCCGCCACCCTTGATGCATGTGGCCGATGCTGTAGCCACTGTGCTACAGGTGCCAAAGCCTCCATATGGGTTTTTATTTACTTTTTTTTTTCCAAGACAAAGTCTCACTTTCTTGCCCTGGTAGAGTGTACTTGTGTCATAGTTTACAGCAACCTTAAACTCTTGGGCTCAGGTGATCCTTTTGCCTCATCCTCCTGAATAGCTGGGACTACAGGCACCAGCCACAAAGCCCAGCTATTTTTAGAGTCTCTCTCTAACTCAGACTGGTCTCCAGCTCCTGAGCTCAAGCATTCCACCCATCTTGGCTTCCCAGAGTGTTATGATTATAGGCATTAAGTCACCGTGCCCAGCCCCGCAAACTTTTTTTTTTTTTTTGAAACAGAGTCTTACTTTGTTGCCCTTCGTAGAGTGCAATGGTGTCATAGCTCACAGCAATCTCAAACTCTTGGGCACAAGCGATTCTTTTGACTTAGTTTCCCAAGTAGCTAGGACTGTAGGTGCCTACCATAACACCCAGGTACTTTTAGAGACAAGGTCTCACTGTTGCTCAGTCTGGTCTTGAACCCAGAGCTCAGGCAATCAGTCCACCTACGTTGGCCTCCCAGTGCTAGGATTACAGGCATGAGCCACTGTGCCCAGCCTAAAATTTTTTGAAACGGGGTCTTACTTTGTTGCCCAGACCACAGTGCATTGTCATTGCAATGTCAAACTCCTGCGCTGGGACTACAGGCACGTGCCATGATGCCTGGCTAATTTTTGTTTTTTGTAGAGAAAGGGGGGGTCTCATTATGTTCCGCAGGCTGATCCCTAACTGCTGGCCTCAAGCAATCCTCCTGTCTCAGCCTCTCAAAATGCTAAGATTACAGGTGTGATCGAGTGTGCATGGCCCATGTGTAATTTAAAATAAATTTCTTTTTCTATGCAATGCTTTCACTGAGACTTTATAATTTGGCAATGATTAAAGGTACTTACTTTGGAAACTTCTAAATTTCTACCTTTTTTTTTTAAAGACAGTTTCACTTTGTTGCTCTTGTTAGAGCGCTGTAGCATCACAGCTGACAGCAACCTCCAGTTCTTAAACTTAGGCAATTCTCTTGCCTCAGCCTCCTGAGTAGCTGGGACCATAGGCACCGCCACAGTGTCTGGCTATTTTTTTTGTTGTTGCACTTTGACCTGGGGCCGGGTTTGAACCCACCACCCTCAGTATATGGGGCTGGTGCCCTCCTCACTGAGCCAGAGGTGCCACCCTGAATTTCTGCCTTTTTGACATTGTTACTTAAGCTGAAAAGCTTTCTTTTTTTGGTTTGTATTAAGTCACATCAGATGCTACCGATTTTTAGGTTTCACCAGAGGCAGTTGATGAACCAATGCCAAAAGGAAGAGTTGTCTCCTCTTGCTCCTGCCGAAGCAAGGACACCTCTCATACCTGAACATTCAAGCCCTATTCAAGATTGCCAGTCAGTTCAGGAAAGCGGTGAGAAGTTAATTGGTCATTGATCCCTTTTCTCTAAGTCATTTGATTGTTTGGCATCATAAGAAAGAAAAAAGTATATCATTTAATAATTCTTTATAACTTTTGTTAACTTTAGTGGTCATTTTGATCTCTTTTTATATATTCATGTTTTTATGTGTATGTATGTATAAGTATTTCTAATTTTTAAAAACATTCTAAGGACTACTATCTTTTATATAGACTTGATGCTTCGATTATTCCTATAATTATTGCAAGAATTCATTTTCTTAAAAATGTTTGGTTTGATATTAGGCATATTGGAGGAAGTCACTGAAGGCATTTTATTACATTTTACTATATTTCAGGGATTAGGTTTCATTAAAAGGTACAACCAAAAAGACTCTTTAAATATTTAGTGGTTTAAATGACACTCTGTTGATTCTTCTAGAACCTGTCATCCAAGTCAATTCTTGGGTTGGGACAAGTAATAATGATGATCAATTATATGCTGTGAAGAATAATTTTCCAGCCTCTGTCCACACTACAAGATATTCTGGAAATGACCTGCACCTGGAAGACATACAGACAGATGAGGACAAGTTAAATTGTAGTCTTCTTTCTTCAGAGTCTACTTTTATGCCAGTTGCTTCAGGACTCTCTCCAGTGTCACCTACAGTTGAGCTGAGGCTGCAGGGTATTAACTTGGGCCTAGAAGACGATGATATTTCAGATGAATCTGTAAAAGGGCTGGAAAACCAGGTCTTGGATAAGGAAGAAGAAAAAACTTTAAGGGCTGCAAATGAGAATTCTGTTCAAGTGATGAAAAGTGAGATCAATACGGAGGTAAATGAGAAAGCTGGGCTATCACCTTGTCCTGAGCCAACAGTAATCAGCTCCATTTTGAAGGATGATGACCACAGTATTAAATCTTTTCCTGAGACAGCTGGACATGATGCCTCTTATACACAGCCAGATGATCAAGAAACCGTGTCTCAAAAAGCTTCAGAGAAACTTTCCTGCATGATTTTGACCCAGAGATCTGTTGCTTTGGGGCATGATAAAGTTGCCCTTCAGAAATTGAATGAAGCAGCCACCAAGCTTCAGGCCTGTTGGCGAGGGTTTTATGCTAGGAACTACAACCCTCAAGCCAAAGATGTGCGTTATGAAATCCGACTGCGCAGAATGCAGGAGCACATTGTCTGTTTAACTGATGAAATAAGGAGGTGGGTCAAGGTCCTGTTGAGGTGCTGTTTTGTTGGCTTGGGGGTGTCATATTTTTATAGGTTATTGTGTATATTGGGGATCCCTAAGACTATCCCCAAGTTCAATGATAAACTGAAAGGACTCATGAAACTCAGAAAAATTATTCTGTGAAGGGTTATGGTTTATATGCATTATAACAAAAGAAAAAAGGCATATAGGGCAGAGTTCAGGAGAGAACAAGTGCAAGCTACCAGTTGTCCTCTCCCAGTGGAGTCATACAGGAAGTGCTTAATTCTCATAGTAATGATGTATGACAGCACATACAAAGTATTGCCAACTGAAGAAGCTTCCCTGAGCCCTGGTGTCCAGGGTTTTGATTGGGGATCAGTCACATAGTTATTGAGTGTCCACGTGCCTGATCTTAGCTACTTAGACCTTAGGACCCCTAGAGGTCAAACTGATATACTATGGCCCAGGGCTCCAGGTGAACAAAACAGGTGTTCACTAGAAATCACATTGATTACATAAACTATCTAGTATGGACCAAGTCCCCAGGAGTACAGAGATACTCTTTTCAGAATGAATAATCCGAGGATTTGGAGGTTCCCTTGGTTATCTCCCAGCAGGCAGTCAAGGGCCTGCTGATCTCCCTACGGGCAGCTTCAGTAGTATGAGGGATGGAGGCCAGTTTGGAATGGGTCAAATAGTGAATGAGAGGTAAGAGTGTAAAGGAAGTGTAGCCAACACTTGGGCAGTGTGGCTTTGAGAAGAGAGTAGGTGTCTCCTGGAGGAGAATCTGGAGTTAGGGAAGATTCTCTTTTAAAAATGAGAAATATAAGGCTGTGCCTGTGGTTCAGTGAGTAGGGCACTGGCCCCATATACCGAGGGTGGCGAGTTCCAACCCAGCCCCAGCCAAACTGCAACAAAAAAATAGAGATGGTGGTCTTGCTCTGGCTCAGGCAGTCCACCCACCTTGGCCTCCCAGAGTGCTAGGATTCTTAGAGAGTATTTTAAGCTGTGTTCATGAGCTCTAGCATAATCATTAATTGTTTTGGAGGCTTTGAATAACCATTTCTTTCTGTACCTTCTGTCCCTTTAGTGTGTTTGGATGAAAAATTAAAGCCAAATAAAGAGCCATTTAATATTTTATCTTTTTTTTTTTATCATTAGCAATACTCAGTAGAACTAATATCTGAATTTTAATCACATCTCATTTTGCTTCTACTTTGAGTTATAGTTCAAAATTAAAGTTTTGGTTTAGATCTGCTAAAAGTGGAAAGGACTATTATTAGATAATTAATCTTTGTATAATCCATGTGCTCTTTGTAATAGTAAGTACACATCAAAGTACCCTTCCTTGTGTCGATAATGTATTTTGAATTACAGATTAAGAAAAGAAAGAGATGAAGAGCGTATTAAAAAATTTGTGCAAGAAGAGGCTGTCAAATTCCTCTGGAATCAGGTAAACCTTCTCCTGCTTATTTACCTAATATATGAACAAAGAACATTCTAGATTCTAGATTCACTGACATAATTATAGAGTAGCCAGGCATATTGAACATTCTTTTTCAAGGTTAAGGCTGTCTTTGATGTTCTTTGCAGTAACTCTGAACTAGGATATTGAATTGTGTTACATTTTATTTAATCCAAAGAAAAATGTTTACGTAATTTTGACAAAAAAGATAAAGTAGTATAAACCTGAAAGAATGGGGCTTAATTAAGTGGCATTGTTATAACTTTCCAATAGATATAAAAAACGCAATTTGAAATTTTATGTAGCTATCTATTTTTATCTTTTGGGAACATTTGAATAAAAGGTAACTAACGTGATATATGATGGCTGTAGTGTACATGTTCTAAAAAGTGTACATGAGAGAGAATTTGAATCCCATTTTAGCCCATTTTCAGAACAGTTTAAGCAGTTGGCTTACTAGTGTTGTATCAAATACTTCCTTTTTTTTGAGACAGAGCCTCAAGCTGTCCCCCTGAGTAGAGTGCTGTGGCATCACAAATCATAGCAACCTCCAACTCCTGGGCTCAAGCAAGTCTCCTGCCTCAGCCTCCCAAGTAGCTGGGACCACAGGCGCCTGCCACA